TATATATATATATGTATGTATATATATATATAAAGAAAGCAGTAGAAAGAAATATTAAACAAACTAATATGCTAATAAAAACTTCTATTAACAATGCAATTATACTAAATATTGGATAATATAATAAAGAAAATTACATAACAAAAAAATTATTCGATGTTTAATAGATATTTTATTCATCAAAATTCAGATAATATTATCGAGAACAACAGAATAAAATTTAAATTGATTTTTTTAAGATTAATAAAATATATATCTTCTCTCATATTACAAAAAAAAAAAAAAGCAATCAGACAAAAATATTAAACAAAGTAATATGCTAATAAATATTTTTATTAACAATGTATAATTACTAAACATTGGATAATATAATAAAGAAAAATATAAAACNTGATTGATACAAAGTTCTTCAATAACTATATAAGTCTTTTTAGTTTAATAGAGATTTTATTATTGGGTATATCGTATTGACAAATAAGATGATAATTTAAATTTATTAAAGTAATACGATCTAATATGTTAAAAAAGGCCCGATTAGGATTTAATTTAACTAATATTGTTTAATACTGACCGTGCATCGCGCGGGTACGACTACTAGTAGTATATAAGAAAAAGTAGAGCAATACCAAAGACAAACCAAAAACTAACCTCATATCCTCCCCCTCTCAGCCGCCACCCCCTCCTCCCGCTTTCCCGCTGCTTTTACCATTTAAATTGATGCCTTCTCTATTCCGAGTTATATTCATGTCTCTATATTTTAAGGTTTTTGATTCTCATTATATCTATTTGACTTAGATTTTTGGGTTAATTTGCAAGTTATCCCAACAATTTGACAAATATTGTATCTTATTTATTATAAATATTGCGTGGGAACTTGAAAATAATAAGGTTGTAGTGTTGGGATGAAAATTCCTTAAGAAATTCTTTAAAAGGTGTACAGGTTCGTTTACTTGTGTTGTTGCTTTGAGTTTTTCCCTTTTGTTATTTGTTAAAAATTCTTGTAAAAGAATATCAAGACATAATTTTTTCTTCTTGAAATTCTATTAGTAGCATTTTTTAACAAGTTAAACTTGATCTTTGTATTATAATTTTCCTTGGGTTTGCTCATTATTTTTGTACTAATTGTTGTTTCTTTTGAATTTACACAGTGCATTTTAATTCTTGAATGTAAGAAGATAAGGGATCGAGTGGCGACATTTTCAATCACATGATCAATTACTTAGAAATTTTTCTTTTTTGATGTGGAACTCCCTAGAATTTATAGATTAAAGATAAAATAGCTAACACAATGTACATAGTTTGTATTATTTTAGTTTGATAAAAATTTAAATTTGAGTTCATCTTGTTGTCTAGCCTCCCATTTGCTAGTTTTTATTCTACAAATTTTATTGTCTCTAGAATAGTTGTATAGAGGATGCATCAACTTTAGATATATAATTGTATATTTTAGAATTAACTTTTGGAATTATTCGTGTTAGTTTGTATGAAGTAAGTGATATCCAGAGCTTATTATGTTTCTGATTTTAATAAAACAAACTATGTATGGATATGGAATATTTAAAAAAAATTAAAATATTTAGTGAGGTAAAAAAATAGCAACGAATTTGCGATGGAAACATTTATTGTCACTAATAAATTAATTTTCATCGCTAATAAAAATGTAATGGAAAATCTAGTCAGAAAATAAAATATATATAAAAATTAATCATGAATATTGATGATGATATATAGCTACAAAATTTTGAATTCGTAGCTAAACATAAATACTACACTCCGTCGCTAATATGTGAGCACAATTATATATTAAATTTTTTTGGCAAAACACATTACATCTTTTGCCTCAATATATTCCTTTGTGGCTAGTATAAAAGATAGCTACAAAGTTATTTTTTTGTAGCAAAAAAATGAACTCATTAGCTACAAATATAAATTTTTCGTGGCAAAAGTTTTATCAATATAGCCACATCATAAATTTTCTTGTAGCAATATGTATTAATCTTTAGCGATGAAACGTTAAAGTTTGTAGCTAACTTTTAGTTACGCTACATTTTGCTACGCATGCTACGGAAAAAAATATTGT